TCATTTCATACCAGATACCGAGCTCATTACGGCGGATTTGCGGAATTGGACATTCCCCAAATGGACCTACTTTTTAATTTTGTAAATTGTGGAATATCAATTTATAGGGGTATTTAGATAAAGGCCCAATTCATTAACCCGCCGTAATGTTAATATCATTTAAAGGTTATATTAAATTAACAATAACTGTTATAGGGTGTTACCTATTTAGGTACGGAATGGGCAAATAATCCAGTTATTCGTGGTGATGTTTTAGTTTCCACATTACTAGAAAACATGAACGGTGATAAATATCCAGAAAGACGAGATGAATTAATAGAAATAATGGATATTAATCCAAAATGGCGTATGCATCAAATATCTGACGGACAAAGGCGCAGAGTGCAATTTGTTTTAGGTTTGTTAGAACCATGGAATCTTTTGTTAATGGATGAAGTTACAGTTGACGCAGATGCATTGGTACGAACGGATTTGTTAAATTACCTAAAAAAAGAGACTGAAATAAGAGGCGCCACAATAGTAAGTTATTTAAAAAGTAATATATCAACTTAATAATACTATTTAACTTAAATTATTAAATCATCAAAATCGCTACCAATTAGGTGCACGCAACACACATATTTGACGGTAAAGTTTTATTAGTGTATTTCAACGTTGCTTTATAAGGCATTCATTCACTCATCTACAATAATGTCATTATTCACTTTATAGGACTTGGAGACTGGCCTACACACATCGCTCACATAAAACGTGGCACAATCGTAGCATTTCATGATTTTAATAACTTTCCTGAGCACGATAAAATGATACATCAACAACTTCAATTACGTTCTTTCTATAATAATAAAGTTGATGATAGTACAGACCAACAATTATCACCACAAATAATATCATATTACCGTAAAAACATGGATTCACCACTTTTAAAAGTTGTTGAGCAATGGTTGAGAGAAGATTTCCGGGAATTGAGGTTTCTCCGGGCTGAAGAAAGGAAAAAGGCAGAGCAAGAACAGGACAAAGCATTATTGGGAGAGGAAACTCCAAGAACAACATGGGATAATCTTTCAGAAAATGTGAAAGTTCACGGAGATAAATATTATAATTATTGGAATAATTGACTTAACTATAGATTATATTTTTTTGTTTAATAATACTTGCTCGAAGAAATTATTTGACCATCTATTAATTATTATATAATTAAAAATATTGCGATAAATATCATGTCTCTAATTGTGTGTTTAATACTTTGTTTTGTACCGTATACTAAGATAGTATATCACACTTAATGAGATTAATGCGATAATAAAAATTTTAATAATAATTTTAAATTTTATTTTAAGTAATATTTATTTTCTAGAAACTTAAAAATTACAGTAAAGATTTCCGATGATCATAGTATAAGATGGCCCTTCGGGTTATCTGCATTATATGATTATTGAGAATCCTTTTTGTTGTAATTTTAAACTCTTTATAGGAAATAAATGAATAGTCTCTTGCTTTATATTATTTATAATTATCTTTTTTTTTTTTTTTTTTTTTTTCAACAAGCTGTTCGCAGATTATTTTATTAAATATTATTCTTAAGTTTACATTAGTTAGTGAGAGTACAATTAGCTACATGTACAACTTTAGTTATTGTTTATTTAAAGATTCTGTTATTTAGATTATCTACTAATTGCTATACTTAGTATCTATCTGTGAATATTTTATTTAAATCCTTTGGCATTTCTATGCAACTCAATTTTAATCTAATGTTTAACCTATACTAATTCTATGTTATCTTATTTGAAGATATTTAGATTAACTTGTGTTTCAAATTGTTTTAGTTAGAAATGTTTTATTCTAAGATACTCTGTTAATTTTATTCAGGAGAGAGCTTGTGAATAACTCTAATTATATTATGTTATACTTTAATTTATCTTTATAGATATTTGTATAAATCTAGTTCTTTTTATAGTTTTTCACTAGATTAGTCTTCTATATTTCTGAATATTTTATAAGATAGATTCTTTCAATCTAGTTAGTTGCTAAGTTAAGTTGGTATTTTTTTTTTTTCTTTGATAGTCATATCATAAACTTTATTAAGTTATTAACTAAGATTTTAGCCAAGTTATATGATTATATAATCTACTTAACTTACTAAGTTTGACATTACTCAGTTATTATTAGAGTACTCAGATATGATCTGTCATACTAACCAAAAAGCTAAGACAATTTGTTTAACTGTATTAAAGAAAACTCTACTAATTTATTTCTCTCTTCTTAATTTTTTTTTAATCATTCCTTCTACTAATACTATTATTTATTTTTTTTTCTTTCCTTTTCCCTTTTTCTTTCTGCAAGCAATACTTTTTTCCTTTCTTCTACTTAGGTTCTTACTTTTGATGCTTTTTTTTCTGCCTTGTTTCTTTTTAGCTTTGTTATAATTCTTTCACTTTTTTCTTAAAAGATTATTTTTTCATATTGTCAGTTCTATATGATCTCTGCAATACTTCTTTAGATAATAAAAAAGATACTATCTATTCAAGTTCTCATAGTATCTTTTTTCTGAGCTAGTAATTGAATATCTTCTGTCATTTTCTTTTCTTCAAGTCTAATTATTAGTTCTTTTCTTCTTTGAAATTAGTTTTTCTTATCTTTTAGAAAAATAATTGTTTAAATTTTTGGTATAAGGTTAGGACTACTAGCTTCTTTAGATTAGATCTTGTTAATATCTTCTATTATTACTTTTTTGATTTTTTCTTATAACTCTTGTAATACTGAGCAACTTATTAGATAGTTGAGATTTTTTAAAATTTTTTTTTTACATAGGACACAATGATCACTTTTATATAAAGATAGCTTCTTTTTCTTGAGCTTACTAAGTGTTAGAAGACTATTTAGCAAGTATTTAATCTGTATAATGAGGTTTTTGCTGTCTTTTATTGACAAGCAATTTATTCCTCTTTGCTTTTTGATCCTCTGCTATAGCTTTTTCTAGTTATACTTTGAGCTTTTAGCTATATTATCCTTTTTTTGATATATCTACTTTGTATCATTATATCTTTTTGTTAGTTTTGATATAAATTGCTTGACTAAACTCTTAATTCTGTTTGATTTCTATGCTATATCATAGCTAAAGTTTTACTTTAGACTATATCTAGATCTAGCAAGAAGCTTGATTTTTTACTTTCTTTTACTAGTTGATTTGCTTTATTATTCTATTTGTTATCAGCATGGCTTTAAATCTTTTTAAGCTCTAGTTTAATATCTTTTTGCTTAATAAGTAATATGATTTTTCTAGAATAATTCTGTTATCTATCCTAATTTATTTGCTATATTGTTCAATCTTATAAGCTTTGGTTATACTCTCTATTACTTGTTTACTATCTGTAAGAATCCTAACTGTTATATCACATTATACTAGTAATAAAACTATTCAGACTCCTATTAGCTCTGCTTTAGTTGATATCAACTAGTTAACAACTTTTAAGTTCTCTATGCTAACTAAACTATTTTTTATCTGATCTATTTCTACTTATCCTATTTCTATATTTCCTCCATCTTTCCTTTTGCCTAAGGATTTATCTATATAAAATTCTATTTTCTTCTTTTTTCACAAAATAATCTCTTATATTTTTTTTTTAAGCATACTTGCTAACTCTATATTAAAGTTTTGTTTTTCTATTATTTTAAGTTCTTATTCTTAAACCTGTAAAAAGATATTTTCTTCTCTTAGCTTTCTAGTAGTCTCTATGTGTAGCTATTGATCTTAGTGAAAACTCAACTACCTCTGTTTCTCTGTTTATACAGTTTCTTAAAATTACTTCTAAGATCTTTCTTTTTGATTACTAAACTCTATATTCTTTGTATATTTTTTTTCTGTTGCTAACATAGCCTTCATATTTCTGAATTTTTTCCTGTTTTTCTGCATTTTTTTTATTCTCCTAATATTCTAGAAATATACTATCTTCTTTTTTCTTTTGCATTTTTTCTATATTCTGATTTTTTAAGACTATCTTTATAAACAACCTATTCATATCTCCTTTTGTCTAAAGAAATTTCTTCAAGTGAGTTTCATATATATAGAGTATTTTTTATAGCTATCTTGAATTCATTTTTAATTTCTCTCTTTTCTTTATATATAAGTACTTGTTCTTTAATTTCTTTGAACTATATAGCTTTTTTACTTTTCTTGAATTTCTTTCTAATATTTTTGAGTTGCTATCATATTATTAAATAAGATCCTTCTAGGTCTAGAATTTGCTCTAATAATAGTATATCAAGATTACAAAGACTCTTGGCTACTCTAATAAGAGTTTTTTTTTTTATTAGACTTTTAATTAGTGTTTTATTAGATTTACCTACTTATTCTTTCTTATTAGCTATTATCTCTAAATCTAAATTTAAATTATTCTTAATAATTAGGCTAGCTAAATTGTTTTTGAGTAGTTTCCTCTCATTATCTCCTAGCTTTTTTGACTAAATACTATTTGTATAGCAAGTAATTTGCTATTTCTGCTTTATTCTTACTTTTGTTATGTTTTTGACCTCACAGTTTTTATTTAGTCTATTTATAAGATTTAGTATTTGCTTAGTTTTCAGTGTATTCTATAGTATTCATATATTAAGCATTCTACTATGAAATATTATAAAGTTTAGAGCTATTCTTATAAGACCTATCTTGTTTTTAGTAATTATTATATATAATTGCTAGATCTTTTCATATTCATCTTTAGTTAAAAAGATGTTTTGTAGTATATATTCTAACTTTGGCATTAGACAAACATTGTTTATATATAATATTTAGCTTGTAGAGACTATTTTCTTTCTAATTATATTAGCAAAAAGTCTTACTACTTGCTTAGCTTTAGCTACTATCTGCTTTTTATCAATCTTTTGTTCTATTCAGATTTCTAAGAATCTTACTGCTTCTTTCTTTTTTGTTGCATAGACTTCTTATCTCTTTACTACTATTTTGCATTGGTCTATGTTATTCTTAATATTTATCACAATAAGCTTCAATTTGGAAGGGTTAATCTGAATATTATTAATCTTGAAAAACTCTTCTGCGATTTGAATTGTCTCTTTAAGCTACTTTTTAGTACTTGCTATCTATATTATATTATCTGTGAAGGCTACTACAGCTTGTTTTACTCTCTGAATCTTTTTTTACTCTCTTTCAAAATTTTTCTTCTAAAAAATCTCTATTTCATATTTAAATGAATTATTTTTTTTAATTTTTGTTAGCAAAGAATTATAAAAGATCCTTCAAATTAAAGGTGAAATTACTTCTTCTTGCTCTATTCTATCTCCTGCTATTATTAATTCAATAAAATCTAATGTCATAATTATTCTAGTTTGTCTCTTATCAAACAAATCTAGAATAAAGTTTTGTCTTATTGTCAGCATCTTATTTTATGGAATACTAATTTTGGAGATTTTAGACTTACTGAGTCAAATACTTTTTTTATATCTTGTAATAATATCTAAAGCTCTTTATTTTTTTCTTTAGCTTCTTCTATTATTATACTTAAAATATGAATTAGATTTTCTGTTGAACTTCCTATTAATCTTGTGAAGTTTGGTCTTTCAAAAATATTGTTTTCTCTTATTATTCTTTCTAATCTAGTTTATAAACTTTAGTAACACACTTTTAGAATATTTCTAAAAATGCTATTAGTCTTATATTATTCAAATTAAATTACTTTAAGTATAGAGAATATCTGACCAATTTTTCATTTGAATAGGATTCTGCTTGTTTTTAAACACAAACTAGCAAAGTTTCTAAAAGCTATCTATATCTTTATACTAGCCTGCTTAATCAGAATATATCTAATATCTAATATACCTAGTGCTATATTTGTTTTAAACTTTTAGAGCATTGAATTTCACTCTTCTTCTGTTATTCTACTGTTTAAATTTTTATACTAGCTTTTCTTAACTCTTATTAGTAGCATGTAGATCTCTTTTCAGCTTTTCAAGAGATTTTTTTGCTGAAAACTTCTTCTTTGAACTGTCTTTAGAAATAGTTGATTGTTATTTCAAGAACTTTTTTTGGTTTATTAAAGAGTTTTTTAACCTATCTCTTGTCTATAAGTAATTTGTCAATTACAATTTTTTTTAAAAGGCTTTTCTA